GAATTACTTTTTCTAGTTAGCGTTTTTTTAGCGAGTTAGTTTTTCTACGGGATGGGGTCGCTAACCCCATGCCCAACCCTCTTCCTTTACCCGGTCTTGGGACCGGCAGTAACTCTAGAAGAGCTACAGGCGGAGTTAATGGACTATTATGTATATATATATATATTCTTATTGTTTAACTATTAAGTGATTAGACTGTGTATATATATATATTCATCTTATTATAAGCTTCCTTTGAACCTATGGATTATTGTTATTATTATACGAATTACTACCCCTAAATTATATTCAGTTTATTAATTATTGTCTTCCAACTTCACAGCCACATTTGGCTTGATCTTGTGCAAATATTATTTTTCTATTTTATGATGTAATATGGTCTGTCTGTCTGGTATATAAACAGAGTATGCTTGAAATAAATAATTCCCATAACAGAAGCTGCAATTAGTGTTCTGGACTCAATTGGAAGGGCTAGGCGGACAAGGGACTAATAAGGACGCCAGACTGCTCATACCACTTGAACGTCATTGATTTGGCACAGTGTTAAGATTAGACAAGTCGGACATAAAATCGTAACGAATCGGATAAGGCCTTCTTATTTTTTGTAGTCATAGCAAGTTTGCGACGGCCTTTTATAAAATCACAATATCATCCAATTTGGAACTAGTCAGATGGATGTACTTGAATCTCAGAATTGTTGTTCACTCTGCGACATCCAGTTGACAAGTCTCGAATAGGACGAAACGTGCGTTCTTGATTCCACTGCTAGCCACTATCCTTCTTTGCTTATAATGCTTGTGGATTAAGACGATATTGGCGCAGTCCGCATAGGATTCACATATGCCAATAAGAGACTGGTCATTTGCAGTCCTACCGTTTGCGCTTCATTCCTATTCTTTCCATATTGATCTTCTGCCAAAATACATTCTGTGCCTGACTATTACCATATACTACTAATATGGATATAAGTAGACCACACTACAGTTATCTTTTATTATTATGCATTCTAATTTTATTTGGATAGAACAAGTCAGAGTGTCTATGTGTGTATGTGTATGTGTTTATTACTGTACAAAAAGGTTCTTAATAATTAAAATGAATAAACAAACAAGGAAAAGATTTCAAGTCATCATTTAGTTTAATCATTATCTATATATGGCAACAGATTAAATAAAAATAGAATATATAATGTACGGGGTTCAAACAAATTACCCTATTTCCTGTTAAAATATATGAGTTTAAACAAGTTCAGAAAAAATTTTTTATTACAATAGAATATCTATTTGATATAAGAGTTTCGACTATTTCCATTGTAGAAGTAAATACACGTGACGTTGACTCTTATTCAAGTCTATCCATATATGTGTATGTTATATCCCGACGAGAATTATGAAGGCAACCTTTAAGGTCTATTTATGGACCAATATGACACGTATATTTCATATTGTGGGACTCCTCAGCAGTGCGCATCCACGATCCCGCTCTTCCGCAAGAGTTGTAGGTCCTGGGTTCGAATCTCGCGAGTGCGAGATCATGGATGCGCACTGCTGAGGCGTCCCATAGTAGGACGAAACGGCCGTCCAGTGCTTCCAGGTTTTCGTTGGTGGTCTAGCTTCAATTGACTCATGATTTCAACTATGAAAATTGCATATTTTGAATATTTTATTGTTAGAACGATTTTGTACACATTTGAAAGATTTCACTTGAGATAATGAAGAAGATTTGTAGCTTAGGTGGATGATTTTGATGGTGTTTTGTTCTCTGAGCTAGATGGTTTGGTTGTGGAGGTTTCGTTTTCTTTGGTAAATTTTTGGAACATAATTAAATGTTCTGTTTCATAATTGACTTCCACCTTTGTACTTTTATTTTCACTATATAAACTACTTATAACTGTTTCAATAAAACTACATTGTGTTCTAATTTTTATCTTTTGACAAGCAATTAATTACCTATGTGATGTCGTGATTTAGTTCGCTTAGTCTGTTATTCAGTCTAGTGTTTGGTGCAATATCGTGTTATCACTTATTTCGTACGAGATATCAAATTCCTTATTTATCTCGCCACTACTATATATATTTTATTTTCACAGTTTAAATCACAACTTGAACTTAAATAGACACCAACACATTTCACTTTCAAGACTAATGGTCATAAATACCATCGGATGCACGCTTAGTGGTCTATCGGTTAAGTGCTCCGGTGAGAGACTGGTAGGTCCTGGGTTCGAATCTCGTGAGGCGAGGTCGTGGATGCGCACTGTTGAGGAATCCCACAATAGGATGAAACGGCCGTCCAGTGCTTCCAGGTTTTCCTTGGTCGTCTAGCTTCAAATGACTCACGCTTTCAACTATGAAAATACCAAATCTCCACAAAACCCTTCTGATTATAATAGTCATAAGTTTGATTCGCGTACGTAAGGTCTTGGAAGTGTACCACTAAATAGTTCAGTACTAAAAAGAAATACCTACTTAGTGGTTATGGGTCTCAAATATCAATCTAGCTAAGATCAGTTTGGTATTTCAACTGAATATTCTACAATCTCCACAAATCCCCTTAAGTTGGGTACATGGATACATTATATTTGAATAGAAATATCTTTTAAATGGGGAAAAATGAAACTTTATTTTTTACTTTATAATTATATATTTATACATACGTATTTATACATGGATTATTTTCATAACAAATAAAATCACTTTAAATTTCATGAATAGTTCCCGCCGCCACCGCCGTCATCATCATCATCATCATCACCAACAACAACAAACATCATCTTAATAATGAAGCCTATGGTTAAAAAAAATTTGGAAAGAGAAAAGAAAATGCAAAACCAAAGCTGAAACTAATCAATATGACTGTTGAATTATAGTTTTAACGACAGTAATCTTAACTGTTGTAACGATAACAACAAAATAAACATTAACCCCATACTTACACAAAATTTAAGATTCAATTTAAATTTATCCAAGAAGTCAAATACAGAGAGAGAGAGAAAGAAAGAGGAGGGGGGAGGCAGAAATCTTTCCACCTACTTTTCATTACATAACATCATAAACAATGAAAAGAACATGTGTATGTAATAGAATGTTCACTAAGATAAATAAATAAACAAAAATCTGTAATATATGATGTAATCATATAGATTGTTTGTGTGTGTGTATCTATTTCTGCTTGTATTTGATTGCCAAATATGAATAATTTAGTTTCAATATAAATCATAATCACTTGTTCTCCTCCTCCCCCCCGGGCTTCGAAATGATTATAATTAAGAGTATAAATTTGGATGGCTATTCATTAGCCTTTTATTCAATAAATATATATGGATATTTATATCTGTATATGTGTATAGATATAGATAGATAGATAGATAGATAAGGTTTGTCTGTTATGTAATCACAACCGTAATCTTGTATTGTTTGAGAAAACTATTTTTTTTTGTTTCGATTTTTCCCAAATTATATTGTCAATTTATAGAGAAAGAAAATGAGAGAATGATTGAAATAGAAAATTCTAAACCCTTTGTTTTATGAAAAAGCATTGAAAGTATGCAATCTACTTAAATGATTTGAAATCAGTAGTATGATAATAATGAAATAGTTTGAATAACCCACAAAAAATAACATTTCTTTAATGAATTATTATTTAAACAAAATGAAAATAAAATGGATAAGACATTTAAAAAAAAAGAAAAAAAAAGAAAAGAAAAGGAAATCCATTAATTCTAATGACAGGTACTACTTTTGTTTAAGATCATGACTATTTAAGATCCATTTATAAATTGATGATCTCAAAAGAACAAGATCGGAATAAATATGAAAGATGATCAATATAATATAAAGTAAAAGGATAACTATATATACTGAAATGGTGAAATGAAAAGAAGAAGAATGAAATAGAGGAATAATAATACTTACTTACTTACATACTTACTTATGCCTGTTACTCCCAATGGAGTATAGGCTGTCAACCAGCAGGATCATGATTATTTAAGATCATTGTTATCCATTTATAATTCTATGATTTCAAAATATACAAAAATCGGAATAAACATAAAAGATGATCAACATAATATAGATCAGATCACAAAGTAAAAGGATAACTGTATATACTGAAATGGTGAAATGATAAAAAGAAAAAGAAGAAAGTAGAGGAATAATAATACTTATTTACTTGCTTACTTATGCCTGTTACTCCCAATGGAGTATAGGCCGCCAACCATCAGGAATAATAATAACAATAATAAGGAAATCTAAATTCTTATTCATATAAAATAATCAAGTTAGATGAATATAGAAAGAAAAAAACAAACATTTTTCAATCAATAATGATAACGGTTAATAAATAAATAAAAAAAACATCATTCAAATAAGGCGCTCAATAATCAATCAATTTTGATTGGTTATTTAATTGTATACATAAAAAACAATTCTATTATTGTTTTTTTATATATTTATATTACGTAATCAGAAATGAAATGAAAATGTAAACAAATCAGATTAAATTTCTTTTGCAATAGTATATCCAATCTATATAAATAATATTAACTTAATTTCAAAAAAAAAAAGAAGGGAATAATGTATTTATCAAAGTTGAAAAAAAGGGGGAAAAAGTTCTCTCTTTTTTTTTTTTTTAAAAAAAACAAACTTTTCTTCTGTTACTATGCATAGATTCAATTGAAATGTATTACAATTAAAATTAAAATAATAATAATTATTCAATGTATTAAAATCATAAATATATTTTATATTTAATCATTTTTGAATAGTTTTATGATTCAATAAAATAGAATATTTTAAATAAATATATATATATATATATATAAATTATTAGAAGGGGTTTTGTGGAGATTTAGTATGTTTCATAGTTGAAAGCATGAGTCAATTGAAGCTAGACAACCGAGGAAAATCTGGAAACACTGTACGGCCGTTTCGTCCTATTATGAGACTCCTCAGCAGAGCGGGTTCGTGGATGTGCACTGCTGAGGAGTCCCATAATAAAACGAAACGGCCGTCCAGTGTTTCCAGATTTTCCTCGGTTGTCTAGCTTCAATTGACTCATGCTTTCAACTATGAAATATATATAAGTAGTATATAAGTAGTATCCTATATTCAATATTTCAATTATTTAAACAATATGTATGTATATATATATTTCTTTGTTTTAAATAAAATGCCAAATAAGAAATGCAGATTTAAAAATTTAATTTTTGTGCGTATTTTAAATGTTTTGTTTTCTTTATTTCTTTTTCTAAAAAGAGAAAAAAAAACAGAAAAAAAGAAAAAATAATCGAATTGATTATTTGATTTTTTCAATATTATTTTCTCTCTTTTTTCTTTCTTTTTTTGTCGTTGTTAGTTTCGTTTAAATTTATTTTATTCAATTATTTATTAATTTTTTTCCCAAATATCTAATCATAAATAAATTGTATATATAAAACAAATGAAAAAAATAGTAAGAAAAGAAGAAAGAATATTTTTCTTTGGAAAAAAAAACAACAACAAAGAAGAAGAAGAAGAATGAAAAACTCATAGTTGATAAGATTGTATTGGATTCCTATTCATGTAGATGTATATATATATATATATATAGATTTGAATGTATTTACAAAGATTGAACATTGAATTGTATATTGTACATACTTAGATTGATTTTTCAAATATAATGACTTTGTAATAGAATATTAAAATGATATAAAATTTATACACAATGATAAATGTATAGCATTTATATGTATAGCATGATTGAATAGAATTAAAGCTAAGCATTAGATTCTTTCATTTCAGCAAAATAAGCAATTAAACGATCATGGGATAAACATAATAATTCTTGTTCCCAACTTATATCAGATTGTGAATTTATTGATTGATATTGATTTATAGTTTTATGATGTTGTGATTTAATAGAATGATCTTGATGTTGTATTGGTGTTATTATTAATTTCTCATGATCATTAATTAGGATTTTATTTCGATTTAGATCATTTGGTTCCATATATTCACCTACATAAAACATAAAAAAAAAAATTTAAGAAGGAGTTTTTTGTGTGGAGATTTAGTATTTGCATAATTGAAAGTATGAGTTCATTGAAGTTAGACCATCAAGGAAAACGTGGAAGCATTGGATGGCCGTTTTTTCTTATTGTGCAACTCTTCAGCCGTATGGTACTTCCAAGTTTTCCTTGATGGTCTAGCTTCAATTGACTCATGATTTCAACTATGCAAATAAAAAATAGTTAATAATAATAATAATAATAAATAAATAAACGAAGCAGGTTTTATATAAATTAATTGTCTAAATTTGAATGAATAATTTTATAATTGATTAAAGTCACAAAAAGATTAATTATTTCCTTGCAAAAGTGAAGATCATAGAACGATCTGTGATAGTAAGTTGGTAGATATAAAACTCTGTAAACTTCAATACTACAATAAAACATTTAGTTTGTTGCATAGTGTACTAGTGTTATTAAAAATAATAAAAAAAAATTAAACAGATCTTATTTGTACAAAACATGGTAAATGAAATTTAATGTTATACCACGTTTTAGTTACGTTTTGGCCACATTTTGGTCAACAGTGTTGTTTTACTAAATAGATTAATTGTACAACATGTGGTGTTGTCTACTTATATCCATATAAGTAGTATATGGCGTGGGTCAGACATAGAATGTATTTTGGCAGAAGACCGATGAGGAAAGAACTGAAATGAAGCGCAATCGTTTGGAAAATGCATGAGCAATGGAATTAGAGAAGAAACAGTGAAGATTGAAACAATTGGTTATTAATTTGCAAATTGACTGTTCATTGTTTGGTTATCAGAATTTACCGAGATAGTCTGTAATGTTTGCTTAAATACATTCGATTGTCCCCAACTAGTGTTCTGTTCACAACAAACATATGATAATCGGATAAAACAATTTCTAATGTAATTTGTTATTGTTCTCAAAAACATGAAATCAAAAAGAAGAATTTGATTCAATTTTTTTTTACATACTTAATAATAATAAATAATTATCATTCTGTAGATAAATATAATAAAAATTTTTGATTTGGTTATTTATTCTCTGAAGAAGTGAATTACATTGAGTGACGAAACGTCAGAAAATCTAAACTTTCTACTCAATATGATATTATAAACATATTTTAGCTTATATATAACAATCTAATGAATACTCAATTTATTTGAAATTATCAAATTGAATCTTGGTTATAATATTTACAATTGAAGTTATTTATAATTGTACTCAATGAAAATATTGTGAATTTAATTAGGTTGTTTAAAGAAATAAAAATCTATGATCATTGTATAGTTTATTGCTAAATAAAAAGGGAGTTTTGTGGAGATTTTTAGTGATTTTATATGATTGAAGTCATGAGTCAATTAAAGCTAGACCAACATAGAAAAAGTGGGAGCACAGGTTGGCCGTTACGTTCTATTGTAGGACTACTCAGAAGTGCGCATCCATGATTCCGCCTCGTAAAATGTAAACCCACGATTTAGTAGTCTCGGGCGCGAGCGATTGATCACAAAACCATTGAGTCGGCATCAAATAGTCTTAATGTCTAACATCAATCAATCCACGAAATTGAGCAACTATTCACCAATGTCTTCAGCGAGTTGATATCTCACAGCAGATCTGGTTGAACTACACTAGTTGCTGCTTCTCATAAGAACTCCAGGAAATAATGGTTAAGCGCTCGCGCGCGACATTGATAGGTCCTGCGTTCAAATCTCGTGAAGTGGGATCGTGGATGGGCACTTCTGAGGAGTCCTATAATGGGACGAAACGGCCGTTCAGTGCTTCAAGGTTTTTCATGGTGGTCTAGCCTCAATTGAACTATGATTTCAACTATATAATATTCCTAAATAACTTGACTCATTTGTCAAGTACAGATTCTGACACACTGATCTTCGAGTTCTGGTGTTCGTTATAAGAGTCTCTGACACTACTATTCAACTGTTTAAATTGAAGTAGGTGCAATGAAGTGCTAAAAGCGCCGATTACATAACAGGTATTTTTTTGATCAGTAATGCAAAAAGATTAATATAAAAACCCTTTTCTGAATGAATTTTAATATCACTGTGATTGTAATTACTAACAAAATATGTTATCTTTACCAAACCTACATTGTTTACAATCGGAATAATCTACGGACCTGAAACTTGGAGAAGTACTACAACCACCATCAAAAATGTACAAGTATTAATCAACAATTGCCTACACAATATACTCAATGTCCGTTTACCGGATACCATCAGCAGCAAACTATTGTAGAAAAGAACAAACTAAAGAGCAAAATTAATAAGAGACGATGGATTTGAATAGAACATACAATACGGAAATCAACAAACTGCATTACGAGGCAGGCGTTAGCATGGGATCCTGAAGGGAAACAGAAAAGAGGAAAGCCTAAGAACCCACTACGTCGGGAATCGGAAGCAGACATGAAAATGATGAATAGTAACTGGGATGCATTGTCTAAGACAAGGTGGATATATAATGTTGGTGAGTGACCCATAATCCTTCACGAGTGGTAACAGACGTAAGTAATTAATGTAAAATTCAATAGTGTCGTTTATATGTTGCACCTTAAGATCGCTGAAGTGAATCCGTTTCTTTCGTATTTTTGGTATGATTTTATCATTGTTTTCCTTTCAATAGAAACTCACTATTCTTCCTTAGTTTGATTAAATGATACAATACAACTAAGATAAACTTGTTTACATCATAACTAAAATCATAATAGTAATTATTGGCTCTTAAAATAAAATGTTGACGATTAAATCTGATATATATATATATACATATATATATAAATCGTGGATTGGTTGAAGTTAGACATTAATACCATCGGATGCCGGCTCAGTGGTCTATCGGTTAAGGGCTCCGGCTCGAGACTAGTAGGTTCTGAGTTCGAACCTCGCGAGAGCGGGGTCGTAAATGCGCACTGCTGAGTGGTCCCATAGGAGGACGAAACGGCCGTCCAGTGCTCCCAGGTTTTCCGTGGTGGTCTAGCTTTAATTGACTCATGATTTCAACTGTGAAAATATTAAATTCTCCACAAAACTTCCTGTGATATATATATAAATATCATGTTGGAAAGTGATCTCATTTCGGTTTGTTAACAGATACGTTTCTAAGGTATTAATGATAATGATGTTTGTCACTTTAATATAACATTCAGAATTACAAATTTATCACCACAGTTTCAAACCGTTTCTTATATTATGTCATTTATTCATCAGTAATTATAAATTCAGAAGGGGTTTTTGTGAAAATTTAGTATTTTCATAGTCGTGGATACGCACTGTAGAAGAGTCCCACAATAGGATGAAACATCCGTCCAGTGATTCCAGGCTTTCCCTGGTGGTCTAGCTTTAATTGACTTACGCTTTCAATTATAAATTCAACTATTTTATACCATATACAGAGGTATATAACATAAATGTCATATTTACTACCAATATCATAACATAGAAGACAATTAAGAAAAAAAATTCCATAAAGAAATTTATTTGTATTAATTATATACCATGAGAAATTTGGATAGAAAAAAAGAATAAATTATGTATTAATTTGCAGTTATCTTATGGCATGGGTTACTTATATCCACATAAGTAGTATATAAATATGGTCAGGCAGAGAATGTATTTCAGTAGAAGATCGATAACGAAAGAATGGAAACGAAACACAATTAATATGAAAATGCATGAAAAAAAAATAATCGGAGACGATGAACTGATATCTGTAGAAGGAAGAGTTAGGATTGAGACAATTGGTTGTTATTTTGTAAATTAACTATTTACTGTACAGTTGTGAGATTTTAGTGAGACAGTCTGTAACATTCGTGTCAAATACATTCGATTGTTTAAAGTTGTATTCTTATTCACTATAATATAATTAATAAATATCCGAGGGGACTCAACAGCCATTTAGCCCTAACAAAATATTACTTAAGAATTTAACGCGTATTAAGTAGGAACTCTATATCTTAAAAGTAAGAAGATTAATACAAAAGAAAACTATATAGTTTTTAATGATATAATAGTAGCTTAATTGTGAGCATGCTTCAATTAAATTTTACAAAGTCAAAAGAGTGAATATAATAAATTCCAATTTTTCTAACAACTATAATTATTCTTCATATAACTAAGAGAAATCTTCTTCTTTCCACCCCACCCCCCCAAAAAAAAGAAAAAAAGAAATTTAATGGTTCAAAAATTGTTTCTTTTTTCCCTTTTTTGAATAAAACAATAAACTAAATAGTCAGCAATTGGCTATCAGAAGTCAGTAGCTAAGTAGATAAAACTATGGAATTTGAAGCGAACAGTATTAGGTTCATGTTCTAGAGTGAACATCAACTCTCAGATGCAGGTACATCCAGCTGACGAGTTCCAAATAGAATGAAACGCACGTCAAACTAAATTCCACTGTTAGCCACTATCAATCTTTGCTTATAATGATTGTGAACTAAAGCTATATCGAGGCAATATGCACAATATGCATATATGCCAATTAGAGACTGATCAGTTGCAATCCGAAAACATCGATTAGAAGATTCAAACGAATAATACTAAGTGACTTTAAATAGTCATTTTTATTTATTAAAGTATTTAATTTTAAATGGTCATAGTCACTATCTACATTAATAATTAGAATAGTTTTGATTTTGTTTGAAGAGAACAATTTGTCTTTATCTAGTTCAAATGACATGACATATGTATATAATTAAAGGTAGTTGTAACTATGGGGAACTACTTTCTTTAATTCTGTAATTTTTTTTATAGAATGTAGTAAAATGTTAAGGGAAAATGATACTTTATAAAGAAGAAAAGAAAAAAGAAAAAAAACAAACAAAAGGATGTAGACTAATATTGACTAATTTTTGTTGTTATGTAGGGTATTGTAAGAGATAAATAACAAAAAAGTTGGATAATTGTTCATTTTTTTTGGTTTTCTTTAGGTAATTACAATTCGTACATACCGTTTTGTTTTTGTTTTTAGAAGTAGGCTTAATGAACAGTATTTATATGTAGAATTATAATAATAGATTTTGGTTTTTTCTTCAGTTGACTTTTCATTAAAACAATTTTTTTTTCTCAAAACGTTCTGGTTAATAGAATCGAATGCAACAACAATAACTACTACTACTACTACTACTACTACTAAATTCACTAAGTATTGACTTGATATTACCTTAATTCACAAGCATTATAAGCAAAGATGGATAGTGGATAGCAGTCGAATCCAGTTTGACGTGCGTTTCGTTCTATTTGGGACTGGTTAGCTGGATGTAAGTGCATCTCAGAGTTGATGTTCATTCCGGCAATCGAATCCAGTATTTTTCGCTTCAAACGCCATCGTGTTTTCCACTCAGTTACTGAATTCTGATAGCCACTTGCTTGTGCAACGGAGTGAAGTTTCAAATTTACTTAGTATTGTTTGTTTTAATCTTTTCATTGATGTTTAGGACTGCAACTAGTCAGTCTTTAATTGGCATATTTGCATACTGTGCGTATTGCTTCCATATAGCCTCAATTCACTACTACTACTAATATTACTACAAATATTATTCGGTATCGGTAATTATGCCTGTATTCTGAGATGTGATAGAGTAAATATTTGGTTAGTACATCGACATTCAGGTCTGAAACTAGCCTGATATGTTCAGGTTCGTTTTTAATGAGTCATAGTTAAGTACCGGATGATAAAAGAGGTTGGTATTTCAAACACTCTTAGTCTAAATGTATACTCTGTGATAGTTTCGAAAGAATTTTTTCAACTTTTTTACAAACTAGGACGACTAGCGATCGAGAATAATCAGATGGGATTACATTCAGCTAGCAAAAGTTAGCTAACATTTCAATCAACTTAGCTGTTAAAATCAGATCACTATCTTTAAAGATATCTTCCCTGTCAGGGTTGTTTGCTGTCATTGGCTTTAGATTAAATCAGACTTATTTTGAAAGCCCCATCACTTTTATTAGGTTGGTGTCTGAAAAAATCTCTACATGAAATCAAAAAAAATTCTATTAGTAATTGCTAACAAATAGTTGTGGAGTGAGTGAAATGTTCATCCGCCAACCAACAAGCGTATATACTGGGTAGCATTTCACTCTGTACTTCTTTATAGATATGAAATATATCTATCAGCTTCTAATTTGAACCTTTAATGATTATAAGTGTTATTTGTTGTGTAGATTAAAGACAAAAACCAGCTAAATAAATATACAACTAGTAATTTTGTATAAAAAAAGTTCACTAAATGCTACTATTAACAACTGTTTTCAACTTGCTATAAGTAAATAAAACTAGGCTTGATTGAAACTAGATATCACCTAAACTAGAATTTGTAATTTAACCGCATCATCATTTGTTATAAATAGAAGAAATGGGTATATGTAATAGGGAAATTTGTTGTTTTGTAAGTTAGATTAATACAAACGATTATTGTATGTTGTAGTAATCAAATATCAATCTATATTTAAGTCAGAAGAATATCATATTAAGTAAACATTATACTGATGAAAAATGTGATCTTCGATTTTATGCCAACTCCAACACAATCTCACCTATATTTCTAAGAAGGAAGCATAATTAGTGTTATATCAAATGAGTAAGTGCGTGTGTGCTTGCCCTGTTTAATATATGAACTTGCTGATTTATGCCAATGAAAAAGGAGTGAATTATCCATCAGAGCAATGATACATAATAACAGTATGAGCAGTCTTGAGCAATATGAATCATTATTCTCAAACATACTGGGTTTATATATCAAACAAACTGACCACATCGTACCATAAAATAGAAAATGATATATGTACAAGATTTGGCCAAATGTGGCTGTGAATAGGGGGAACAGTAATTAATAGACTAGGGATAACTCAAGGAAGGTAAATCGTATAATAATAGTCTATAGGTCAAAATAAAGCTTGTGATAAGAGAAATATGAATAGTTAAGTTACTTGGCAGTTATGCAGTAGGAAATATACATAACATATTGGTCCATAGATATTCTTCAAAGGTTACCCTTCATAATTTTCCACGGGATACAACAACTAGTGTTTCATATTTTTATTTATCTGTTGATATTACTTCATTTAGTGAATATCGGCCATAATTATATCTCCAGATTATGTAATCACTTACACTGTAATATGTTACTATAAAGCTATTCAGGCAACGACTAAGCTTATGTAAGGATGAGATCTTTATATTGATTAGTAATTGATTGATGTCAGATGAAATTTGTGTCCAGTAACAACTTTATCTGATCAGCAATAATACAATCGCTTTTCGAAATTTATTGTTTGCGTATAAAATTTATTAACTTTTGTACTAAGGGTACATAAAAATGAATTTCTTATAATTTAATAAAAGAGTTTTAAGTTACTATTCAACTGGTTAAAACTTTAGTAATGAGGTTAATTTATATAATGAAGAGTTTATTGTTTCAAATATTAGGTAAAGTATCCATTATCTTTGTCTGTTACATGGCCGCCAAATACCCTTGGGGAGAGTGCACTCTCCCTCTCCAAATGCTCTCACATGGCCACGCGTATACATCTTCTACCAGGGAAGTCCTACTCACTGACTTCTCACAGTGACATTACTGTTGTTTACTAAATCAAGAGGAAGAAAAGCTAATGTTCGGCACCTTAACAGGGTTGGTGGACACGGAAAGTTCACCTAGAGGAGTTGCAAAACCGTCATTCCAAACCAATAGTGTACATGGGTTCCAGTATCCTGAGGGAACGAATGGCGTATGAATCAATTTTGGTCACCGGCTACCATGAGACTGTATCTCCTCACGGTGCTCCACTGCCTTGTGGATTAGGCCTATAGGTCAAAGGCTCCCGGTGTGGCTCCCTAAGAATACCGCCTGCTTAGGTTTGGGCAACTGGGCAGTATAGCAGTCGTCACAAATCGAATGAGATTTCTGTGGTTTATATATATTTGGTGCCCGCGTACCAATATTTATGTGTTCAAATAAATAAATAAATAAATGATCAAATGATTCTTTACAGGATCTTCTGGATTTATCTGATATAATGTAAGCGTCCATTAGTTTTTCATCATTAATTATTGATTAGTTGAAAGCGTTCGTTAACGATCACTGTGATACGATATCACACATTGAATTAAACTGATAATGTTGACCAATTTAATAAAATAATTGCTATTATTATAAAAAAAGTTCAGTTTACTAAAGGTAATCATATGACATAGAGAAGAGCAGCTTCTTGGTTCAAAATCTCATATCCGATATATAGTTTGAAGAAGTAGTTCATAGAAAATATTAGACCTAAATTTCAAGTTGGCTGACACTCATCATCAGAGTATACTTACAATCTTGAAAGAGATGAGCTTCTCTGAAAAAAGGAGCTCCCGCCAACCAGCCTCATTGTTGCTAATCCGTTATTCTTGCTGAGATTGACTTGATATTGAACTTGGTCAACAATATCCAGCCATCAACAAGTAGAAGATGAACATGACATTGATCATCACTCACCAATCAACAGATGTTGATCCTTGATTTTTGGTAGTCAATTCGCTTGTCTGAAATTTCCTAGACATACACGAAGTCGATGTTCATCTCTTTATGACTTTTACTGTCTTACCAGTTGATATCGGTCTTCATCGAAAATCACCATACAAAATAACACAACTTTAATTTTCACGTGAACATTAATTTTTTTTGGAAGGCAGTTTCGTTGACATTTTAGTAATTTTTTAATATAGTTGAGATTATTAGTCAATTGAAGCTAGACCATCATGGTAAACCTAGAAGCACTGGACGGCCGTTTTGTGCTATTGTGGGACGGTTAAGTGCTCTGGCGCAAGACTGATAGACCCTGAGTTCGAATCTTGTGAGACAGGATCGTGGATGCGCACTGCTAAGGAGTCTCACAGTAGGACGAAACGGCCGTCAAGCAGTGCTTCCAGGTTTTGTATGATGGTCTAGCTTCGATTGACTCATGATCTCAACCATATATATTTAAATTTTTTATTAAGTTATATTATGCACAAGACTAAATTGTGGTTATGATTACATAGTTAACAGAACTTACATAAATTTTGTCTTGAATCAATACCTTTATCCGGATACAGTTCATTACTTGTTATTACGTCAACATTTAATTCAGTTGTATCATATTTCGTAGTCATAGGAATTGATAAATCTTTTGACTGTTCCGATATACTATTTATAGAATTATCTAATTGTTGATGTTCTTTTATAGTTGGTTGATCATAATGATTTTGATGATAGTGATGATTATGTAAATGCTGATGATGATGATGACTAGATTTGTTATCATCAACAGATTTTTTGTTGTTAGATTGATGTTTACGTTTACGTCGCCGTTTCTGATGTACCGGATGATACCACCATAAACTTTCTTCACTTGGACTTTGTTGTTTATTTAAATATTTTAATGAAATATCATATGATGAAGTGAAAAGACAATCTTGACAAATGTCGGTTTTACTGTTATTAGTAGGATCAATGTTACTTGGTTTAGTTTTATGTTTTTTATAAATATTTTCAGTTAAAAGTTTTACATCACATTCTTTAGAAGAATCAGTTTGACATAATGCTGAATATAATTCATTTGTGACATGAAAACTCTGAAATTGAAAAAGGGAATCAAATGAGTGAAAGAAAATTTGAAAAAAAGTATTCGTGAATGAGTCTTATAGAGATTGGTTTAATTTGAAGATGTTATTCAAGGTGGATGACCATCATTTAAAGTATTATAGAAAGCTATGATGTGATGTACAATTGTTACGTCTCAAAGAAAGTACTAAGCATTGAACCAAGGACCTAAATGTTATATGATGGACACTTAACTCTTAAACTACTATGTCGATACCCTATGATTTTGTGCGACGATCCTTCAGTAAGATTATAATAAAAAAGTAAGAAGGCGAAGATCAACCATGAAATTAGCCTTTAAAACATAGTTAGTACAAATGTACAAGTTACGTTTCTTTCGATCTTTAATTAGAAAAAAACTGATCAGAACTAAATTGATTAAGTGTACGATTGATTAAAACCTTGTTCACGTTGAATTTAATTGCAAATAAAACGCAAAGTCTGTCAGTATTTGTTTTTATATTAGGTAATATAATTAACTAACATGCCCCCAAATGCCCTAGTACGGCTGGGAGTAGAGAGAGTCCACTCTCCCTCTCCAAATGCTCTCACATGGCCACGCAAATATAGCCTCTACCAGGGAAGTCCTACACACTGCCTTTACACAACATTATTGTTCTTTACAAAATTGAGAGGACGAAAAGCGAATGTCCGGTACTTTAACCGAGTTCATGGACACGGAAAGTTCACCTAGGGAAGTTGCAAAACCGTCATTCCAAACCAATCATGCACATGGGCATCAGTATCGCAAGGGAACGAATGGTGTATGGGTCAATCGTTGGTCACCGGCTGCAATGAGACTGCATCTCCTAACGATGCTCCACTGCGTTGTGCATCAGACCTTTAGATTAAAGTCTCCGGTTGTGCCCCCCTAATAAAACCACCTGCTTCAGTTCGGGCACCTGGACAGTATCACAACCCTCGTACAAATCAAATGAGATTTGTATGGCGCATATTTATCTGGTGCCTCCTTGTACCAATATTTATGTGTTAAAATAATAAATAATAATATTAAATATTATTGATAGCTCCTGGACACAATTCTCATGATACGTTATCAATCAGTTACTGTGTAACTACGGCAATTTACCTTTTCATTTAAAAAAGTATTTTCAGAAATGATAGGAATGTTTATGTGAAAAGTTTACTGACTGATGACTGTAAATGGTAGTTTATTGATTTAATTTAAGACGTCGAGCACTTTAAATCGAAACTCAGTAGTTGGATCACACCATATACTAGTCAAGAGACCTGAATCTTTTCGGATTTAATATAATGTAGAGTTATTGGTCCGCACTTCAGATGAATATTAATAACTATTGCACTAGCTGATTACAGTGACGAGCCTTCAAAGCATCATATGCTACATTGCATCCAAATTTTTGTTCTTTAGGAAAATAAATTGTGATTATTCAAAATGAAATTATCTCATATTCATATTAATCCGTAAAAGTTTACAATCAGTCTTGGTATCATGGAGTCTTTAAACGACATCGAGTGTATTTGGACCATAAATTCTATAAGAATCATCTCCAGTTTCTCAATCATTAGATTTCCAAATGGTTACAAAATTCTTCTGAAAACGCTTAAGTACACATGATAGACGAAAATAATTAGTTAGTTACAGTAATCAGAAGGGGTTTTTGTGGAGATATCATTATCTTCACAGTTGAAATCATGAGTAATTTGAAACTAGACCACCAAGGAGAACCTGAAAGCAATGGACGCCCGATTCGTCCTATTATGGGACTCCTCAGCAGTGCACATCCACGATCCCGCCTCGCGAGACTGCTGGGTCCTGGGTTCGAATCTCGATCGCGAGGTGGGATCGTGGATACGCATTGCTGTGGAGTCCCATAATAGGACGAAACGGCGTTCCACTGCTTCCAGGTTTTCCAAGGTGGTCTAGTTACAGTAAGTTTAGAACGAAGAAATCCATAATGATAGGTGCAGGTTTAAAAATTAATAGTGTCCAAAAGTTTCAGTAGATCTTCATATCTATAATGAATGAGAATGAAACAGTTGATCTGTTCTACGTAATATTTAATGATTCTTTAAACCATACATAGTAATTTTCAACTTTCAAATGTTTCATAGATAGACATGAAGTCTAAAGCCTAACAAGGCATTACAAGATATTTGAAGAACATGGAGCTGTATGACATTACTTTATCAAAATTCTTTATTCGTTTGATATGAACACAAACTAACTTTTATTACAACATAAACTTACTTGAGGCAAACTAAGTGGACGTGGATGTTGATTACTTGTGTTATTATTATTATTATGTCTTGTTAAATGACCAAGTGTATGATATGTAATAGCTCCACGACTTGTAGTTCTTATTGGAGGATTTGGTGGACTTTGATTAAATGAACTAGTTTCATTTAATTCTAATACTTCATTAAGCTGTAAATGATCTTCATGGATATTAGCATGATCTATTAATGGACTGTGTAACTCACATTGTTGTTTATTTGAACAACAATCTGATTGATTTCGTTTTAATGATTTCTCTAATGTTCGTCTTATTTGCCATGGAGAATTCAATGGACATATAGGTGAAGAAACATTTAACATTTCTGTTGTTGTACAATCTTGTCTATCTATTGTAGATTGATTATTACTATTAGTATGTTCTAAAAAATCTTTATGATGTATATCATCTGTATTTAATAAAGGTTGTCTACGATAACCTGAAATCATCCAATCTTGATTAACATTACGTTGATAATGTTGATGTTGTGAAGTTGAGGTAGTTAAACTTGATTCATCGTTACAAACCTGTGATAAACATACAGGTAAAGGTGATAAGACTTGACATGTAGATTGATGTCGATTAGTTGATGATGAGATCGTAGGAGAATTTTTTATACTTGTCACGTTTTTCAATTTATTCATAGTTGATAGTGTGTGATTCAATAGATCATTACATTGTACTTTAGTAGTACATTCATCATGTAAATAAACTGGTGATATTTGTTTACGATGTAATGATGCACTAGCACTACCACTTAACATCATCAATGGATTTGAGTTGTTTAACCAGGATTCACTAACTATTACAGAGTTTGTCAATGTATTATGATTATGATTATTATTAGTTTGTTGATTGATATATTTCATATTTTCTGGTGAATAATCTGATAGGAAAAGTTGTGGATTAAGAAATTGTTGAGTTAGTTCTTGTTGTATATGATAATGTTGCTTCTTATTTGACATTGGATTACTAATTATTCTGATACTACATTCTTGACCCTAATATAATGGAATTATACATATGAATAAATATTAGTTAAGTAAGTTTTATAAAGATCATGAACCCATCTAAGTCAAGAAATCACTGAAAATTTGGAAGCATTGAATGACTATTTTATTCTAGTATAGGACTCCTCAGTAGTAAGAATTCATAGCCCCACAACCAGGACTTGAGCCTAGAACCTTCTGTCTGTTATGTGGACGTTAAAACTATCAACCACTGAGTCTATTTTTAATTACTTAGAAGTTTGACTTTAACCATTTTATGATATTGTACGATTGTTTATGATTATCTTCAATAGGTGTCTGGTAAAAAACAACCATCTAATGCTTCCAGGTTTTCAGTAGTTGATTAACTTAGAATGGTTCTTGATTTCAATTTTAATCAACATTCTTTACAATCATTATCTGTCAATATGTAAGACTGAACAATAGCCGAACAATTTATTCTTATTCAATTACCTATTGCATAATACAGAGTCGAAATCACTTTGGAAACAACAACATAAACATTAGTGAAACCCCAATGAAATTAAACCAGCGTTTCGAACTTTACTGTTAGTTAATATCAAATTATATGGTATATACTATTTAACCTATGAAAGAACTCTAGTATACATATACATATCCTATGACAATCAAATCTTAGAAAAAAAATTCTGGCAAGATCCGAAATAAGATTTGAGACCACCAGTCTGATTTTCTGTTGGCTTAAACTAAACAAATTTTAATCAAAGATGGATAGTGACTAGCAGTATAATCCAGGACGCGCGTTTCATCCTATCTGCACAAGCAAGTAGCTATCAAAAATCAGTAGCTGAGTGGATAACGCGATGGCGTTTGAGGCGAACGGTACTGGGTTCGAGTCCCAGAGTGAACATCAACTCAGATGCAGGTACATCCAACTGACGAGTCTCAAAATCGGACGGAACGCGCGTCAAACTGGATTCGACTGCTATCCACTATCCATCTTTGCTTACAATGCTTGTAAATTAAGGCTATATCGAGGCAATACACACAGTATGCACGTATGTCAATAAGAGACTGACCAGTTGAAGTCCTAAACATCAATGGGATGGTTCAAACAAACAATACCAAGTGAATGTAAACAAATTTTACTTTCGAGTTTTCTAAAATCAAGATATACTTATATCGCCTACAAACAGAACATCAAATAAACGATAACTTGATATTAGGTAAAGTTACCTTTGACTACATCTCATTACTATTCAATAGATCACAATAAAATTACTGTATTACGTAGGGATTTGTATAATTACCATGAAAATGATCAAAGAAAATCAGAAATATTCATCCCAAAAGACCAATGATACCTGATAATTTCGCTGCGTAAATGCTGTTGTATGACGTTTTGTGTGACGACCAAGTGTTTGACACTCATTCTTAGGTGTATTACTAGCAGGTATAGATAATTGATTATATAAAAATGAGTTAGGTTGTATTTCATTTGTATATCCAAATTGTTGTGTAAGATTATCATTTCCTACATATAAGAAACGTGAATCTGATTCTATATTGTCTGAACGTAAAGTATCTTGCCATACACTTTCACGATATGGTGATTGTAATAATAATAAATCCGCTTCACCAACTGATAACACAGCAGTTGTAGATTTTTTTGTCATCCCATTCAATTGTACTGGACGTTTATTTGGACGAGATAAGCTGGCATCTATTTTTGGTACACCATTGGTATTACCATTATTATTAATGTTATTAGTAGTAGGAATTGGCGCTGTTGTGCTAAAATCAGTTAATTCCGAATTATAACCAATAGGCTGACTATGGTGATGATGATGATGCGAAGGAGGACGGTGGTGAGAACTTAAGTTTTCATCTAGTTTATCAGTTTCATTTTGTCCATTGATAACATGTTGACGACCAACCCATACCCAACTTGAATCACGATGTAACAATGGCTGTAAATAATCAAAATAGTAGGTATAGATTATGAAAAAATTTAAGACATTAACCAAAGAACATTTTCTAATTACACAATTGTATTTATTAACACTATCCACTTCTATTTAGCATACACATTATTTATTATTTTATCTATGTAAACACATATATATTGATACAAGGGGCACCAGATATAGATGCGACACACTAATCTCATTTGATTTGTATGAGGGCTATGATACTATCCAGGTGCCCAAATCAAAGTAGGTGGTTTACTTAGGGGGCCACACCCGGAGCCTTTGACCTGAAGGTCCGATACACAAGGCAGTGGAGCATCGTGAGGAGATGCAGTTCCATGGTAGCCGGTGACCAACAATTGATTCATACACCATTTGTCCCCTCAGCAGGATACTGGAGCACATGTGCACCATTGGTTTGGAATCAGGGTTTTCCAACTCGTCTAGGTGAACTTTCCGTGTCCAACAACTCGGTTAAATCGACGGACATTCGCTTTTCGTTCTCTCAATTTCGTAAACAACACCCCCACCACGAGAATGCAGTGAGTAGGACTTCCCTGGTAGAGGCTATATTCGCGTGGCCATGTGAGAGCATTTGGAGAGGGAGAGTGGACGCTCTCCACTCTCGGCCGTACCAGGGCATTTGCGGGCAACATACACATACATTATAAGCAAAAAGATAGATATATTATTTGTACCTGACAATATTTTTCAAGCATTCCTAGGGTTTAATACAACGATAAAGATGAAGTGCTCACTGAATTATTCACGTTTCTTTCTACAAATGGTGTAAAACATTAAACATAATATGTTTGTTTAAAATGATGCTTGCCAATATATTTTACTTCAAGGGAAATATGTATTTCATGATGATTATTTATCCACTCTGATCAAGTCTAAATTTGGTTTTTATCATGAATAAATATCGTTTGATTAATGACTGATAACCAAGAAATGTTGGACAGCTACGTTAGGTGGTTGAAGGTAATTGACATGGAAATGTGGGCCTCGGCTTCGAGCTATTTGACATTCATTAGTTAAATATACCTGTAATCATGAGGAAATTAATGCTCACTGATGAGTGCGAATCCGTGTTACGCAGTTTCACAGTCTGAGATGTTACCACTGAGCTATTCAGTTGAGTTTTTAAATGCCTAGAGGTGGCACCTTAGTCTGTGAGTTCATGGAACTCGGGCTTGAATCCCCCAGGAAGCATTGATTCCCTCAAAATTACTAGTACACTTTGCTGTTGGATACAAATAAGCATGAAGCTTAGATCCAGGACTACTCTTCACTACCCTCAACCACGTAGTATCTCAACACAGTGAGTATGATGTCAAGTTACGTAGACCAATGACCACTTTGAAAAATGACTGATGGAATTCGATTAAAAATTAAAAGAATTAGATAAGAATGACATTGGCCGTTATTCCGTTATCAATCAATTGTTACTGTTGGATATTGATTTCAGCTTATAATTATATTATGAAGCAGTACACACTTTTTACATCACTTGACATTTATTCGGATAACTTAAGGTTTTATGGTATGAATGTCACTTTTAGACAGCCGCTAAATATCATAGGATCAATTAACATTGAGGGTGTTCAACTACCTTACAACGGACATGAATGAATTGCACCAATCATGATGTCTCATTGAAACTACTGGAAATGATTATACTAAGATGATCAGTATGAGAATTTGCTAAAATTAAAGTGTTTTTACAGTTGAATTCAGGAGTCCATCTAAGCTAGACCCCCATTGAAATCCTGGAAGCACTGGACGGCTGTCCAGATTTTCAATGGTTTAACTTAGTTGGAATCACGATTTCAATTAAATTCAACAATCTCCACAACCTCAAACTGAAAATTATATTGTCTTCACCAGTGACCAGCTTCAAGATGGATTTCTCAGAGTTCTAGTGAGAAGCAGTGACCAATGGAGTCCAATCCGTATCGATTGTGAGACAACCATTCACCGCAGACAATGGATGAGAGGTTGCGCAAAATCGTGAATCGATTGAAGTTAGACATTAACACTGTTGGATGTTAGCTCAGTAGTTTTAAGCTCAATTGTTAACGTGCGACATTGAAGGTCCTGGGTTGGAGTTCTGTGTATGGGATCGTGAATGCGCACTGTTGGGAAGTCCTATACTAGGACGAAATGGTCGTCCAATGCTTTGAGGTTTCCAGTGGTGGTCTAGCTTAGTTTGGCTCTTGAATTCAACTGTGAATATAATAAGATGAAACAAGTGTTCAATGCTTTTTCATTTTCAATGGTTCTTTAGGTTATATTAATCCACGACGAAAATCCACTTCGATTCAAATACAAATTCATTTTGTCATAAATACATCAATATAGTTTGGAAACATTTCTAAGCTCACTGTATGCCAACAGTGACTAACATTCATTAACGATCATGGTCTATTAAAAGTACATTTAAAATGATATTGTTATTATATGAGATCAGATCATGTTCAAAGCTCATTCACCTAATCTGAAATCTAAGTGATAACTTACAGGTCTGACAAAGAGAGGAGGTTATTACCTTTGGAACCATTATATAAGATAGTATTCAGTAGTTTATATTTGAAACTATAGTCAATTCGATTTTGGTATTATTGGTAAAATACATCAAATTAAAAACAAGCCTTTCATGCCAATCATTCCCTAAGTGAACCTCACAAAATCTAGTTGGATATGATTTTTGCTCAAAACGACTTGGACAAAATCATCGGACATTAATAAAAGAGTAATTGGTAACGCTTGAAATTTGAGGTCAAAACTTTTCAACTCTGATTATAGCTCACCTTGTGTTTTTGACGACTGCTAAACACTGATGTAGCAGATCGTTTAGTTCGTTTCCGTTCTTTATTATTATTATGACTATTAATATTAGTGGATATTAGTTTTTCTTGATTATCAGCATCACTCTTTGAATGATGTTTCCAATTATACTTTGATGAAGTAGAAATAGCCGACATTAATTGACTATGATCTGTCATCTCATTATTATTGGATACTGGATCAGTAAGTGTTAAAGACTGAGAGGGATTGTTATCATCATTAAGTGAGTTATTACATTTCCCTCGAACACAACCACTAGCAATACTACAGCTGCCATCACGAGTAATATTGTCGGTACCATCAGTGTTATTCATATTCATCTTCTCCCAACGATAACGTACAACAACAACTCCACAATTGACAGCAAATACAAGTCCAACTACAGCAAATAGACCAAGTAAAATATACATACTCATCTCTAATGCTGGTCTTGAACTAGTTTTTGCATCGTTAGCCTTGTCATTATTTTCACTAATACGACTGTTACGACTACCACTCCTGGGATTAATGGATAGTTTATTTTTACTATCATGTATTAATTCTTTATTTTCCACATGATTAGTATTTCCACCACCAACATCAGATAAAATAGATAGTCTGTCGTCTATATTAATATCATCAGAATTTATAGAAATAGTATTAGATAGCTGAGAGTTTTGTGGACTAGAGACTTTATCCGATGATGACGATGAAGATGATGAATACATAGGATGATAATAATCCAGTTTGTGAAATCCAGGAGCATCTTTAAATGCCATAGAACCATGTATATTGCTTTCATTGGTCTTGATTTCCTGTCAGATGTAAAACAAACATACCATTTAGATATAATAAAACATTTCAGTGTCTGTAATTCAACTTACTGACGTATAAGAATCCATCAACTAACTTTAATTCGTAAACAGTATTTTGGAATAATGTGGATGGCTTGCAACTCAAAAGGATGACTATTTACGTATTGAAGTCTCTCACATGAATGAATAGATCTATGAACTTGGATTTCCATTTAGGTTGACAAAATTAATTTCAAAGTCATACAGACGTATGGTCTTATGATATTGATTTGAACGACGATAGAACGTGCAACACTAATAAACTCTATTCATGTTGCGTTTAGTACTAAACAAATGGATTATACCATCAATTAATATCAGAATTTATTACCTTTTAGTAATTCTAAATAGTTTTTTTCTTTGGATTTATCATCATTATTTTGAGATGGTGGAGAAGATTTGTAGCTCAGGTGGAAGATTTTGATGTAGGTTTGTTCTCTGAGCTGGATGGTTTGGTCATGGAGCTTTCATCGTCCTTCTGAACGACATCATCAGCACATACTTCGGGTAGAAGTGAATTGTTTGAATTTCTCCACATGTGATTCACATCGAGGTGCAAAGGACAAGCTGATGATGTCGTTCAGAAGGACAATGAAAGCTCCACGACCAAACCATCCAGCTCAGAGAACAAACCTACATCAAAATATCATCATTATTTTCAAGGTAGTGTTGTAATTCTACCCTGAGTTGAATGTAATTCCCACTAACAATGTTGGAGCCACTAACAGCAATCATCAAAATATATATAATAGTAATAATAAAAATGTCAATAAATTCCATTTCCGTTTTGAATGATTGTTATCGCCTGTTCCCTAAATGTACATGAGTTTTCCCAAGATCCTTCATAAAACGGATAATATTATACCGTTTAAGTAACAAGTTTACGATGTATTTTTTGGTTGTACCCAATAGTGGAATACAAGATATCCATTTTATCCTAATTGAGACTTATTAACTAGATGTATTTATATCTGAGTATTCATGCTTATACTGAAACTAGAACCCAACGCTTATCGCTACTAAATGGAACGTATTATTCAATAAGCCAATGAATTCAGATAGCTAACAGTTTGAAATCTGAAGCCATTATTGAAACATCGGTCAAAGGTTGAACATCTATCATCAGAGAGTAATCATTAAATATCCTGATTGAGGAAATGATGAACTAAATATAAGTAGTACTTTTGAAATAATAACTGTATACATCTTTGCTTACCCTGCTTGTGAATTCAGGCCATATTGAGGCAATGTGCACAGTATGCACATACGCTAATTAGAGACTGACCAGTTGCAGTCCTAAAAACATCAATGGTAAGATTCAAACAAACAATACTAAGTGAATTTAAACTTCACCCCATTGCACAAGCAAGTGACTATGAGGACTCATTGGTCGAGTGGATAGCGTGATGGCGTTTGAAGCGAACGGTACTGGGTTCGAGTCTCAGAGTGGACATCAACTCTGAGATGCACTTGCATCCAGCTGACGAGTTCCAAATAGAACGAAATGCGTGTCAAACTGGATTCCACTGCTATCCACTATCCATCTTTGCATACTATTGATTGGAGTTGTTTAAAATCAGTAGTACTAAATAACAAAAATATATATATATATATATATATAATTATCAAATATTTACTTGTATAGGTTTTGAACCAAATTCATAATTATCATTACTTCTTAAATATTCATTCATAGAGAAACTATTTTTAGGTGATATTATTTCACCACGAATACGAACATGTGGAACTAGAAGATTACCACTTGGTGATGTTAGTCCAACTTCTAATATATCACCTAATTAAGAAGAAAAATAAGGGTTATATCATAGTAAATGATAAGAGTTATTTTATTAGAATGACTTGTGATAGAAAATCTGTGACACTCGTCAGGAAGCACAGAATTTAAGTTTCATGCTGATTGATATTCATAAAGAATGTGAATTTGAAACCTTCAAAGAATTGTGATGTATGAACATTAAATGAATCTATCTATCTATATAAAGAATTCGTCTGGTGTATATGACTATTGGTTTAACAAGTTACCATGTGTGATTACAATACAAATCAAAAATATGTACTACTTCTTTTAATCCGTTCGAAATTCACTTCTCAATACAAACAGTGAGATAGTTACAACCTTATTATTAATGATGAAAACGTCAAATTCACTGAAAAGGCTAGTGGCTAGCTGAACTTAATAGATTAGCGAATAACTCCTTTGATTTTTGAAGCAGAAGATAATGAGTTCAAATCACAGTATGAACATCAGTATGGGTGCAGATATATCCGGCTAATGAGTCTCGGATGAGACGAAAAACATCTGAATGTCATTGCTAATTACATTCCATCTATTCAGTAAAAAAAATATTTTCTTTGTCTTTAGTCATGCTTTTATAGCGAACTCATTTGAAGTATCTGTGTTCATACTGCTTGATATTTACAGTTTACATTGAAATAAACAAGATGAAAATGAATTCGTTTTACTGATTCGTTTGTAACAGTTTTTCCCTGCCAATAGTAATCAATATGCCGCGTACTACTAGACTACTTGAATGATAGAACCCTCAACGTCGCAAGAGAGAAGACAGAAGACTAGTAAGTAAGAATTTTATTCCCCAAATCAGTGTCAAAATATAGCACAGAAGTCTCATGTATTTATAGTTTTTGGCTGAAAGTAAATCATCATTTTGGACAGCCAATAGGCACATAAGCAGTCATTCTTATCCATCCAATAGGGAAGCTACACGTCGACATTCAAGAATATTTTCCTAGCAGTGGTCGAATGGAATGTCTTCGGCTCATTCTGAACTTCCTAAGGCTTCCTAGAGTTTTCCAACGACCCATCCTTACAATATTGATTTCAAGTTTAGTTTACATGACGTTTAGTTCTATTGACTTTCGAGTAAGTTTGTTTAAAAATTCATTTTTCAATATGTCTGAACTAATGTTTGTGACGAAACTTGCTTTCATAAGCTAACTTAGATACAACTTCAAAAGGTCAAGAATGTGTAAAAAGTAAAAACATGACTGATATACTAGTGAATAGATGAAGAATAACATTCTTCATATGTACATATGAATAACAAATTGAGCCGGTAAATTAAGGATCTTTTCAGCACAATCACATCTAAGACTCATGACTATCGTTTTAATATAAATAACTTTAAATGCAATGCAACTACAAAAAATTTCAAAGAACATCCTTACCAGAAAATTTGATCTTTCTATGAAGAAACCATACTACTGGACCAGACCAATAATTACTTGCATTAATCAATGTGACATTCTTTGCGATTCCGTTGCGTAACATACTTCTGTATGTTTGTTGATTAATTGGTATGGAATGATCACCAGTTCGAAGTAAATGTGGTTTCATACGTACTGAACGACGGGATAAACCAGGAAATCGATCACTGCTTCGTCGAATAAATGAAGATTCCGATAAAGTCTGAGAAGATTCTGATGATGAAAAGGTTGAAATCGGAGATACTTTTCTCACAGAACGTTGTTTTCTTTCTACCAAACCAGGTGAACTAGTTTCAATCCAGAATAAATCAGGTCGACAATTTTTAATTGATAAGTTTAATGGAATTTTATCTTTTCCATAAAGTCGTTCATAAATCTAAAGAAACAAAGTGATGAGAAATGTATGACTCAAGTTTTTTTTAAATGTTCATATATTAACTATAAACAACAAAACGTCTTACAAGCAAAGATGGATAGTGGACAACAGTGGAATGCATGGCGAGCGTTTAATCCCATTTGGGACTCGTCAGCCGGACGTACCTGCATCTCAGAGTTGATGTCCAATCTGGGACTCGAACCCATTCCCGTTCACTTCAAATGCCTTCGCATTATCTACTTAGCTACTGAGTCCTGATAATAGTCTACCATCGCATGCTAAATGGTTTTAGTTTATCTCATCTCAGTATACAATGGTTGCTGATACCTATCCTTTAAGAGTAAATTACTAATTAAAGTATTTGAGTGAAATGATTTAAAATTGTTTGTAGTGACTCAGGTTTTATTTTGAATATTATTTATAACTAATGCGTGCTAAGAATTAAAACTCGGGATCTAATAAAAGACAAACAGTGAATCAGCTTCTTTCATTGTGATTGATTTTGAGCCATGCCAGTAAATGTTACCAACCAACACACTGATCTCAGTTATCTTAAGGACTATAACCTGATCATCGTCACTAATAGGTTGATCTTACGTTACCGTTTGGCCTCCCCTAGACTTTTTCCAACTTACAGCTATACAAGCCAAGAATATCAGTTGGAGTAGGCAGTTGTTGGGCATAAGCAAAACAGAATCCATTCACCTTAGTAGATATAGATTAACAGACTGATCAATCAATTCACTATCCTCACTTAAGCATCTCATTAAAAGCGATATTTCCTACTCATTCATTCCAGGATACTCACAAATCATGTATTATAACCATAGAGTATTATGAACAGGACCACTTTACAGTATATTCTCTATAATAATGTGTTGTGACTTGACCAAGGGCGTCGCCAATTTGTTATGACTTTACAAAGTAAACCAAAGACGTATCCTAATTCGTTATTGGTTTTTTTTATGTCCGGCTTTTATTCGCGTGAATGATTCATCAATGGAAATATGACTTTTTTGACCTTAACACTGTGACAAACAATGACTTTCGATCAGTATGAGTAATCTAGCGTCCTTATTGGTCCCTTGTCCGTCTAGCCCTTCCGATTGAGTCCAAAAACACCAATTACAGCTTCTGTAATATGAATCTATGTGAACCGTTTATTTCAAGCATACTCGGTTTATATACTAGACAAACAGACCACATCACACCATAAAATAGAAAATATTATTTGTACAAGATCAAGCCAAATGTGGCTGTGAATGTGGGAGACAATATTCAATAAACTGAGTATAGTTTAGGAACAGTAAATGGTACAATAATAATCTATAGGTCAAAATGAAGCTAATAATAAGATAAATATAGATATACACAATCTAGTTAATCAATAGTTAAACAATAAGAATATACATAGAATAATCGTCCAATAATAGGTCCTGGGAGTTACCCGTACTTATGCCTTTGCTAGGATATAACATAATGTAAGTCTTAACAACTTAAACTAGTAGATACTTTTATATCATATGTTCTTTAATAGATCACTGTATTTCATCTCAACAAATTTCTAATAAACTAAACTCACCTCCCCCCAAAAAATATGATCAATTTATCGATATTGATTTTTTTTCTACAAAATCTATATCTAATCCCTTTTGTTCCATTTTTCCTCATTTCTTTCCCTGGATACAAGTTCATTTAGTATCGACCAGTCAACTATCATTTCAATAAACTCTTTTATATAACTTTTTTTTGATCTAAAATTAATCTTAAAACTTTATTTGCTCCTTTCTATTTATCTATCTATCGGTTATTATTTGATTGGTTGATTAATCCGTTTATTTATTGATTGTAGAATTAATTAAATGGATACCAACTTTTATATTAGGAAAAGTCAAAGTTAGAACATAGGAGACTTTTTAAAAAAAATTGGATGATAAAAATTAGTTTATCCATCAATTGTATCCACGCATGTTGTTGTTGGTGATGATGATGATGATGATTGAGCTGTTTAATTGAAATTATATAAACAAAATTGGTTAACATCACTTAGTATTGTTTGTTTGAATCTTCTCATTGATGCTTAGAACTGCAACTGGTCAGTTTCTTATTGGCATATGTGCATACTGTGCGTAATGCCTCTATATAGCTTTAATTCACAAGCATTATAAGCAAAGATGGATAGTAGCTAGACTCAGTGGCCGAGTAGATTACGCGATGGCGTTTGAAGCGAATGGTACTGGGTTCGAGTCTCAGAGTGAACATCAACTTGGAGACGCAGTTACATCCAGCTGACGAATCGCAAATAAGACGAAAGGTACGTCCTGGATTCTACTGCTATCTACTATCCATCTTTGTTATTATAATCATGTTATAATTTGTCTTCTCCCTATGTAAATTGTCATATTGGCTAATTGTATAAAGAGTTCTATATAATAAATTTCAAGATAATAGACATTTATTGCTTTACATTACGCTTCAGTGAAGTACTTTTAAGAAGAAAAAAAAACAATACTATTTCAATAATTAATCTGTACTACTTATATAAATTACATACCTCAGTCATTCGATTCCATAAAATAGATGAACCATCAGATAAATGTATCCATACAATAAGAAATCCAATAGGATTACCCATAGTAACTGTATTGAATTGATTTGTATTATTATTATTATTATTATGATTAGATAATATTGACATTTTTCTATGAGTATTTAATGTTGGTTGATTAAACTCGGAATTAATTGATCCACTATGAGTTAATTTACTACCTTTTAATTTAATCTTAAGTGAATAAATACCAGATAGAATAGGCATATGTTCTGTAGATGTTGTTGAATATAAATTATCATGATTATCAATATTATTATTATTTGAAGATGAACTTGAACTTGTTCTTTGTTGTGTATCATCTATATTAGATGAACGACTAATTGAAACAGAGAAATCTATTGAAAAATCAAAAACAAAAACAGATACAAGAAATAGATATTAGCATTTTTATAAGGTGAATTCATAAGTCAATCTAAAGAAGATCACCACTAAAAACCTAGAAACACTGGATGACCGTCTTATCTTAATATAGGACTTTTCGACAGTGTGTATCCAGAATCCTGAAGGCGGGAATCGAAACCAGAACTTCCGGTCTCGCGCGAATACATAACCTACAAACCACTGAACTGGATCGATTGAATTTGGACATTAAAACCGTTAGATACCAGCTCAGTGGTGTCACAACAATAACATGGTTTACATGAGTAGTTAAGAGGTTGTACTCTTACACAATAAAAACATTCATGTATATTGAAGAGAATAAACTAATGAATGAATAAGTAATAAGTAAATGAATGCATATTACTCATAAGAATTCCATTGATATGCTTAGTGAAGTTTTCGTCCACTTTGTTTCCACAATACATATATATGAATGAGTGAATTTTAATTGGTAACAAACTCATAGATAGATTTTGTACAAAGAATCGATTTGGTCAATTTAATAAAGAATATATCATATCAATGACAAAGGATTAAACACAATGCGATTTATGCTTTTCCACTTCGATTCTTTGTTTAGTAAAAAAAAATAGAACAATTCGAAAGATATTTTGCTTTTATTAATTAGTATCCTTTTTCTATAAGTGTAAATATGCCGTTGATAAGTATGAAAGTCAGGAGAAGACGACCAATGTAGCAGGAGCCTCAGCAGCAGTTGGTCTCAATATAAACAAAGGAAAAAACAAGACACTCCGATACAATACAACATGCATCAATCGAATTATACTTGACGGAGAAGCTTTGAAGGATGTGAAAACCTTTACATATCTGGGCAGCATCAATGATAAACACGATGGATCTGATACAGATGTGAGGGCGAGGATCGTCAAAGCAAGAGCAGCATATTTACAAATGAAGAACATCTGGAACTCAAAACAATTGTCAACCAAAACCAATGTCAGAGTTTTCAATAAAAATGGCAAGAGAGTTCTACTGTATGGAGCGGAGACATGGAAAACTACGAAAGCCGTCATCCAGATGATACAAGTGTTTATTAACAGCTGTCTACGCAAGATACTTCGGATCCGATAGCCAGACACCATCAGCAACATTCTACTGTGGGAGACAACAATCCAGATTCCAGCTGAGGAAGAAATCAGGAAGAAGAGCCGGAAGTGAATAGGATACACATTGAGGAAATCACCCGATTGCGTCACAAGGCAAGCCCTCACATGGAATCCTGAATGCCGAAAAAGAAGGGGAAGACCAAAGAACACATTACGCCGAGAAAGGGAGACAGATATTAGAAGAATGAACGAAAATTGGATAGAACTAGAAAGGAAGGCGGAGGACAGAGTGAGTTGGAGAATGCTGGTCAGCGGCCTATGCTCCATTGGGAGTAACAGGCATAAGTAAGTAAGTAAGTAATGATTGAGTAATAAATGAAATTAATGAAAAGCTTTATTTTATTTTGTTATTCAGTTGATACTAACCAACTTCATCGATACATATTTAGCCTTTTGGTTTGGTTAATAAATTTCAACGACCTATACTTCAAGAATTCATCTCTTAAATACACAGATAAAGCTATAGGAATGCATGTTGATAACCTTATATTTGTATATCAAAAAATTTCTGTACAGCCACTTAATTTAACTTGATCTTCTGCATAGTTACTCTTATGTTTTGTAAACTTTTTCGATCTTCTCAATTTTGTTCAACTTTACAAGGCAATCCCTAACTTGGAATCCGGAAGGGAAGCGAAAAAGAGGAAGGCCAAAGAACACATTACGTCGGAAAATAGAAGCAGATATGAAAAGGATGAATGTTAACTGGAAAGAACTGGAAAGGAAGGCTCAGGACAGAGTTGGATGGAGAATGCTGGTGAGCGGCCTATGCTCCTCGACGAAGGGTAAGAGGCGTAAGTGAGTAAGTAAGTAAGTAATCTGATTATCATAATTCTTAATCTACCTGATAAATTTTAAAATTATCCAGTTGATTTCTATCTTTAGAGAGAACGTTGATTTGAATCGTTGAAATGAATCATTAGAGTTTGTTTGGCATTTATTTTATACCTAGAAGTAAAACTTATTTATCTGTTTGAAGTGATGAAAAGAAACTAATTGACAAGAAATATTCTTTTAATCAACATGTATTTATAGTTTTTCAATAATGCAGTGTCCCAGCTATGTTAAGGTTAGTCAAACTTTGTCCCTTTGAAACTGATTAGCTTTTACAGAAATCACTTCCATTTCTCAAGACTCAAAAACCAACCACATGGATGTGATTTTGATGGACATCGTTACCCCCAAAGTCTCCGTATGCGAGCGTCACACCATGGGAAAGTTTGGTTTACATGCATATTGGCAAACCCGAAAGTTCTCACCTGTTCATTAATCGAGCATAAGAATATAACACAATACTCTCTTTTTTAGTAGTGATCTATCTAAAATCATTTTATGATCTTAACTGTTAAAATATAACACAAACATTACAATGAATTTCATTTATTTTCTTGTTTTTCACAATTGATGATCACTGGGTGGTGAACAATGTCATGTGTGCCAAGACCTTCTTAGTGCAGATCGAATGCAATCGATCAAGATGCAATATGGCCACTAGTCTAAGTGGCTCGACACTGCGTGCACTATGTTGATATAAGATGGTGTTTGGAGTTGGTCAACAGGAAACCCTGGACCCAGGTTTTGTACTATTTGGCACTCGTCAGCAAGGTGTACCTGTAATCTTGAGGGAACAAGTGCACCCTGACAGATTCGATTGCATGTCACCCAGCTTCACTGTCAGAGACGTTACCACTGAGCTACTCGGGCCGCTACCGACCTCCTGTAGGACTGAGATGGAGGCACCAAATTTATTTATTTAAACACATAAATATTGGTACAAGGAGACATCAGATACATATGCGCCACACTAATCTCATTTCATTTGTGTGAGAGCTGGGATACTACCCAGGTGCCCAAACCGAAACAGGTGGTATTCTTAGGGGACCACACCCCGAGCCTTTGATTTAAAGGTCTGATCCACAAGGCAGTAGAGCATCGTAAGGAGATTCAGTCCCATAGCAGCCGATGATCAGCGATTCATTCATACAGCATTTGTTCCCTCAGGATACTGGAGCCCATATACACCATTGGTTTGGAATCAGGGTTTTCCAGCTCCCCTAGGTGGACTTACCGTATCCAACAACCCGGTTAAAGCGCTGGACATTCGCTTTTTGTCCTGTCAATTTCGTAAACAACAATAATGTCATGAGAATGCAGTGAATAGCACTTCCCTGGTAGAGGCTATATTCGCGTGGCCATGTGAGAGCATTTGGAGAGGGAGAGCGGACTCTCTTCACTCTTGGCCATACTAAGGTATTTGGAAGCGATGTAATCACAATAGATCGATCACTAGATAGTAGTGATCAATGTCTCTTTTTTTTAAATCCTATCCTAAGATTTAAAGAAATTGTTTTGTTTTGTTTTCCTACAAAATAAAATGATTTCATAAACTAACCTGTTACTAATTGTGCAGATAATCCAACAGGCCAAATACTTGTATCATCTGTTACTTGTACTGTTATACTTGGTTCTTTTAATGGATCATCAACATTTTTTAATAATAATATATTACTATCATTATTATTATGAGTAGTAGTAGTAGTAGTATTCAATTGTAATAATGAATAATCTTTAAGTTGTTTAATTAAACCTGGTGGTATAAATGTATTTATTAAATTTTTCTGAATTGGTGCTAAATATATTTTAACATAACCAATAGATTGACCAATAATCCATACACGTAATGGTTTTATCCATTGATCATTCAATTTATCATTTATCATTAATAAACGTATAGGTAATTTTAAATGATTTAATTCTGTTCTATTTTTATAATTAGAATTGAATATATTACTATTTATATTTAATGATTGTTTATAAGTAGTATATTCTAAACGTAAACGATGTGCTGTAAATTCGGTAACATCAACATATTGATTAATTTTTCCACCTAAAACATCTTTATCATGTAAAACAGAACTAGCTAAAATAAATCTAAAATTTAAAAAAAAAAGAAAAAATATAAAAAATAAAGAAAAAAAAATGTTTTATAATAAATAAATAAGTTATATGGTTGAGATCCTGAGTCAATTGAAGTTAAGCAATCATTGAAAACCTGGAAGCACTGGATGGCCGTTTCGTCCCATTGTGGGACTCCTTAGTAGTGCGCATACACCATCCTGCCTCATGAGATTCAAAACCAGGATCTACCAGTCTATCGGTTTAAGTGCTCTGGCACGTGACTGAAAGGTTTTGGGTTTGAATCTCGTGAAGCGGGATGGTGGATGCGCTCTGCTGAGGAGTCCCACAATAAGACGAAACGGACGTCCAGTGCTTCCAGGTTTTCAATGATTGCTTAACTTCAATTGACTAATGATCTCAACTATATAAAATTAATAAGATCTTCACAAAACCCCATTCTGTATATAAAAAATTTTTGGAAAAAGAAATGTGTAAAAAAAATTTTTATAATGAAGAATCATTGAAAAAATAAACATATGGTAAAAACTAAAAAACAAACAAACATCTGTTCACATTTACTATATAAAGATTGTAATTGATCAATCACTTATTGGTTTATGTGCATACTGTGCGTATTGCTTCGATATAGAGTTAATTCA